CAGAGTGAGAGAAGGGTCTCTTGAGCCAAAGGTAACAAGCTCTGAGCTGGGGTCCGATAAGAAAGCTCAGTCTCTCTTATCCCTGGGATTTGGTCTAGTCATTGTGACATCCTGGGCCAGACAGAGAGATGCTAGCTTGTGAGAAGCCCAAATCAGAACCCTCTATCCTTGTGCCATCCATGCATTCATTAACCCATGTCCCAGGAGGCCTACAGCACCTTCATACATGGAAAAGTTGACAGGGACCCTGAAGGCTTTCCCAGTCCCAACCCAGCCTTCACCTTCAGCCTGCTTTTTGCCTTCACTTCTGTTCTGTCTTTGGGACCCCCACTCCCCTCCCCCAACAGCTATCCACAAGGTCCCATCTGTGAGCAAACCCTGCTAACCTTGACCCTAGTGTCCAGAGCTCCCCTATATCCAACCAAACACAGGGCATGGGGCACAGATCATGGTGGGAGGGTGCAATGAGGTCGCTGCATTACTTGTCACCAGTGGAAGTGGCATTTGCACAAATGCTATGTGAATTGGGTGTGGGAAAAACAGCCATAGAGTGGAAATGCCTGGGAGGAACATAGGCAGAACCTGGCCAGGGTGAGGTTATAGAGGAAGAGAAGGGCTTTCTGTTAGTCCTGGATAACAAGGCATAAGTACGCCAGAAACCCACTTCTCCAAAGTCTCCATGTGGTTCCCAAGCCTCTGTGGTCGTCCCTAAAATCTCAGAGAGTCGCCACAATAGAAACAGAATACACATAATGTTCTTGCAGGGCTGGGGGTAAGGGGGGGGGGGGGGGCTATCCCCTCCCTGATATGGAGATAACACTAGCAAACTTATTTGAGGTCTACTGGTGCTGGATATCATAATTATGGTCACAATGCTGAGCCCTCCAGTCTCACAGAACTGTTAATGGTCCAGATATGGGAGCAATAGTTCCCTCTACATTAGAGTTGAGGGGTCCCCTGGCTGCAGGTCTTGCTGAGCTGGCAACAGGAGAAAAATGCTGGACTCTAAGATTCCTGGACCATTGTGTGACTGACAAAGGGAATTGATTGGGAGGAGGAAAGCAAAATCAATGCTGATGTTATTTTTTGATGAGCCAGATGAAAACTCACAGTAGAGTTGCTCTCTGGAGGAGGAGTGAGTGGATTAACCCAGTTTGGCATTGTTTAATCAGTTCTTCTGCATTATAAGGTGTCGCATCACTCATCAGACCCAGCTCTGGGATGCCAGCCCTGACCATCACAAGCTTTCTCTAGGCTGGTCTTCACCACAGATCTGAGCTTGCCCTTGTGAGAGGCTGCTCTTGAGGAGCACTGAACACTGGCTGGAACTGTATGCTCGGTGTCCTCCTTCGACATCTTGATAATTATTTTATTATTGGTTGCCCCAAGAAATCTGTTCTGCATTTAGTGGCCTCCCTCTAGCCACTGAAGAGCACTTGTAGACCGTGGTGGCCCAGGCCTGGGATCACAACACAACAAATAGGCCTGACTGGCTGAGTGACAGAAAGAATTAATGCATCTAGGTCTATTCTGCTGAGGGTGCTGGTCTCTTTTTATTTTTGAGGTGATTTGCAAATCCTACAAGAATCTCCCCAACTACAAAATTTTCCCTGCCCTGCATCAGTCTGAGCAGCTAAATTACAAATCCTCACGAACCAAAAATCAGAGCCATAATTTAGGCTCAGAGGTCATTTGAAATATCTTCTTTGATCCTTTCAAATTCTTCCATTTTGATTTTGACTTTTGTTTTTCTTTTGCAGTTTTTAAAAGTGAAATTAGCTTCCACCTGGAAACCATTTAGAAATTCAAAGTTCTTTTGAGCCTCAGAATGGATGTTTTTCCATTAACAAAAGGCCAAGGTAGAAATAAGAAGAGTAGGATGGATGGGGGAGGAGTGGGGCACTGGAAGAGTGGGGTATAAGAGGTGGTAGCAGCAGTAGTGTAACTGAAACAGGGTGACTGGGGCAGCAGCCCTGGATGCTGATTTGAGCCAGGGAGCGGGGAGCTGCAGAAAATAACAGCTGCCTCTGCAGCTGCACAATCACACCAATGGCTCGGCAGTAGTCAGAAGTTGCTACTGCCCTTGTGCATTACTGCTGCCCCAGGCTTCCAGCTGCCTTTTTACATCTCTGGTTGGCAGGCAGACAGTGGAGAGAGCTAACCCCACATTCTCACATCTCACGTGTATGCCAGGAACTGAGGAATCCTGCCTCGTCAGTGGGAGGCTTGATCCCCATTCCTGCCACCTGTGGTCTCCCAGATTTGGAAACACCTGACCCTTTAATTCCTCTCCCTGCCATCTTTATAAGCTATGAACTGGGAAAACCTTGTCTATCTGGACAGTGGGATGCTGAGCTCCTCACCCTATGTGACCCCCCTGTGTGCTGTCTGGGACTGAGACAGGGACTGGCTTCTGCTGTCCTGCTACATTCTCTCCCCAGACACAGGTCTGGTGCTGACTCCGAGTAGCAGTGGGACATACTGTGGGTTAGGGCTGAGGTGCACTGGTGGTGCTGGAGGTAGGGCAGGAGAAGGAACAAACCAAGAACTAAGTTAATAGCGGGGGCTGGAAAATAGGATTGAGGTGGATTCACTGATATGGTCCGGTGTGGCTGAGCATGCTACAGAAACAACCTCAGGTCCACCCAAGCTGGTCCGGCTCATTAGGCTACTGTGATGAAGTCACAACAGTTTCTACAGTCAAGGCCGCATGTCAGGGAGTGAAGTGACTAGTATTACAGTCAGCTGCTTTTCACTCCTTAGCCATCCACTTATAGAAGGATCAAGTAGACTTTCAAGACAAATCAGGAACAAGGTATGGACCTGTGGGTCCACAGTAAGATAATTTAACCACCCTGACACACACATTGCAGCCAAAGCCATGCAAATGTCTGGTGTTTCAGTTTACAGACACTTGAAAAAATATTAAGAGTAATTATTTGGGGTCTAACTAACTGTTTCCTTTGGCCTGGAACAAAGCATTTTGGTTTACTTTGAACATTTAAAAAAATAAATAAATAAAGGGAAATATCCAAATGCAAAGATCTCAATCAAAAGATCAGAAAATCTTATTTAAGAAAAGTCTAAAGGGAATAATATGACCTTTTTTTTTTTTTTTTTTTGCCTGTTTATGCAGGCATTTCAAGGAAACTTAAATTCACAATTAAAAGAAAATAAAAAAATCACAAGCCACTGAATCTGTATTTTTTTGCAGGGAAGAAAGTTCAAGACAAAAAAATTCATCTGGTGTTAGTCTGGAATATCTGTCTACTTGGCTGGGATCCCAACAATGCATACTCCTAACTGCCCTGCATGTTTGCCTAATGATACAATATGTGTCCTATTAAGCCAAAATTAAATGCCCGTCTGGGAGCTCTAATGCAAAGCCTCGTTAGAGCCAATTGGTATTAGCACTTCTTTAGACAGCAAGTAGGTGGCTCATCAGCTTTTCGAGGATCAAGAGCAAGGAGTCATCCAGCCCAGAGCATCCCTACAGGTTCCAGGACTTCCCTTTACAGAAGCTTTGACCAGAGCTGTCAATCTGTGTACATCATCATGCATAAACATTTATGCAAATTAATCAATGAGTCAGTTTTTCATGTGATCAGACTTCTAGTAAGGAATGTGTCACTGCATGTATTATGCTTTTGCCTTGTACTGTTGATTTGTAGCAGGCATTATGCAGGAGGGAAAGTACCTAACTTGCAGGCTGTTCAGATCAACACAGGGCAGGACTGAACAGCTTCCCTTGACTCCCAGTCATTCATTAGCTTGAACTCAACCTTTGCTAATAATGATTTGGCAATCCTGCCCCTATCCTATAGGAGACAGACACTACTCCAGATCCTGTTGGCTTCCATGAGGACAGAATGGAATTACTTAGTGTTGACTGTGCACCCCTGCCTGCTGTTGAATGGAATGAGCTGCTCTGCCCCAGGTCACTGACAGTGGTGAGACCAATGGAGAGACCCATTTTGAACCTGTAAAAACCAGAGTTTCCTTATGAGTTGAGCTGTTTGGGTAACATTGACTGAACATTACCTCAACAGCTTTTTTCCAACTTTTTTGGATCTAAAATGGCCTTTTCTCATCAAAAGAAAATGTTCGCAAAACTTGTACTTCTCCTACAATTGTCTATTTCCCCCCCAAAATGTTGTTCCCTTTTACTTATTTTCACCCCTTGTTTTCTCCCTCTTTTAGTAACATATTAAAAGGGAGGAAGAGAACTGCAGGAACAAGAGAAAAAATTAAATGATCTAAATTGGGTGGAAAAGTTTCCTAAACTTTTTTGGAACAAGAAAAGGTCTGTTATTTCCTGTACAGTGGAGCTGTATTCAGAGCCTTCATAAATCTGCCCTATCCATGTTTGATCTGTGTCAGTAACGTAGAACGCTAGCCCTTTGGACCAAAACTATGTTGTTTCATGTTTGTGTGATGCCCAATAAACTGTTGTCCCAATGTAGAACAGGTTATAGTAGATACTGTTACAAAAAAACAAAATAACAATATGCAAAGATCTTGATTCTCATTAGCAGATATGTAACAACTGGGTTCTGTGCCAGGGGTGCCAGCATTGCTAGGCTAGCAGTAGCAGCAGACAGGCCAGTAGCAGTGGCAGTTTCTATCCTTGTGTACCCTTTCTGTGGGTGCCTGAGGCTGGTGTGCCAGTTACCCACCCCTAGTTCTGCTATTGCTCATTAAGCTATACACTCTCATTATGTCATAGTGACAATGTAAAGCCATATGTAAATATGATTTACATATTGATAATCAAACCCAAATTATCAGAATTTGGGGGCCATAACCACATCACTCCTGTTTAAGGCCATAAAAGGCCTTGTCTTCCCACCTCTACTAGTTCATAAAGACTAACTACAGACAGTCAAACAGCCTGAGCTTGAATCAATTCAGACTTTGCAAGTTAGTCTAAACTGCAGAGATTAAACTGAGAAACAGCTGGACAGATATTCACTTTTGATTGAGGAAATGCAACCACATACCTGCAGTGGCTCAGGCCAGAAGCTGATGCTAGAGTATAGTTCTCTGGGCTGTGTGCTTCTTCTTCCTGCTGCCCCCAAGATCTCTGGGATTTTCAGTCCACAATCACAACAACAAGACTCTACAGGGTTGCTTATCACTTCCTCTCCCTGCTTTCACGTGCCTCTGGGATTTGTAGTCCACAGTCGTAGCAGTAAGTTTTTAGCAGGGAAGGGCAGGGGGAAGGGAAGTTTAACCCTCCTCCCTGGCCCCAGATCCCAGCAGGGGTTTTCCTGCTTGGGGACATTTCCTGCCTTCCACCCCTCCCCTCCCCACCCCAAGCTGGAAAAGTATGCTGGGGGACTCTGATTTAACTTAAACCAGGAAGAGGTTTGGAACAGAAGTTTCATAAAATGGTTTGATGCAGATCAGTCAAATCTGTATTGAACCAGGTTTATCTTAAACCAGTTTTAGGCATTTTGAAACTGGTTTACATGCACTGAATGTTTATTCTGTTACAGGTTTAAACCCGTTTCTGATGACTTAAACCAGTTTATATGTAACTTCTATCCCTAGCCAAAGTCTCTGACAGGGCTGCTTTTGGCTCTGAACACCTCCAAATCTGTTACATTTTTTGAAGCATTTACCCTTTCAAATTTGAATGTCACCAGGATGGAACACATCCAGTAATCAATAGTTAGTTGAGAGGAACCCTTCCAAAGCTGCAGAAGGACTTTTAGAGCAGCTGTGAACAAGGTGTCTGAGAGGGCTTTCCCCTTCAGCACTTCTATAGGGAGTTTTATTTATTTTGCAGTCTATGTGGAATGAAATTGTGCTAGTGTGTGTCAGGATCTTGTGTTTTTCTGCATATGAACTGGCATTTATGGGAGATGATCTTGGCATGAAGGTAATTAAACTAGAATGCTCTGTTTCTACCTCTGCCATAAGCTCCTTGTGTAACCTTCATTGAGCTCTGCTTTCTTTCTTGGTACTCTGCTAGCTCATAAGCAGTTAACTCAAAAAGTGGTTGCTACTTTGCTAATTCATAAGGGTGTTGTGAGGATAAATCCACTGATACTTGTGCAACACTCAGGCACTAGCATGATAAATAGCTATAAATAACCTCCTACCTTTGGGAATATATTCTTTAAACTATTTTCCCCACATCCAACTGTGACTCCTCCCTTTCCAGTCCTTCAGGTCATTGGTCTTTATTGTGCAGTTTTCAACAGCTGTGAATTATTCCCTTCCCTCAATTCTACTCCCCCTTGAAGGCATTTATAGGAGTTGATCCTATTTCCCCCGAGTCTTCTCTACCCTATATAAATGACATTTCAGAACCTGAAGCCAAATACATAAATAGATGCTTATGCAGGGCTTTGAACCAAGGTTTTTCAATCCACTAGTGATTTTAGGTGCCTCAAGTGAGTCATCTTACAGAGTTTTAGACAGTGCTCACCATCCCACCTCTGGAAAGCAGGCTACTCTTGGGGGGTGTCTCCATCTGAGCACCCCTAAAATAGAATGACCCCTAAATCCTTTTTCAGATTATTTTAGATGCTCACTATCAACCTCTGAAGGTTTGAAAATGGGTCTTCTATGGAGACAGCTTCTCAGCTTGTGTCTGCCAGACAGCAAAACTCCTTTGGATATTAAGGCTGTATACAGCTTTGGATTGCAATTCAGATTTAGAGATGATTTGGATGATTTGGAGGCCGAATCTACAAATCCAAATTGAATCACTAGAAGCTTTAGGCTTTCTGAATTGATTCAGGGCTTCCGAATTGATTCGGAAAAGATCCGGTGATTCAGAGATTTGGCCATGGGGTATAATGGGGAATCGATGAAATATCTATAACTTTGTTATTCTTTCACTGATTTGGATGGAACTTATAGGGATGATAGCTGCTACTGAGAGCATGAAGTCTTACAAGTTTCAAGGCAATAAGTGTAGGGGTTTCTGGGAAACTTCACTTCAAATCCTGAAAGCAAAACTCATGTCACGTATGTGTGTTAAGCCACAGCAGGTTGAAAATTGCAGAAATGCTGAGGCCACAAAGCCTGCCAAGTTTCAAGGAGATAGATTCAGGGGTTTCTGGGAAATGGCACCTGAAGCTGCTGACAAGTAAAACTCATGTCACATGTGTGTGTTAAGGCACAGGGGGGTGAAAACTGCAGGGGTGGTAGCTCTTGCTCAGGCCACAAAGCCTGCCAAGTACCAAGGAGGTAAGTGCAGGGTTTTGGGGAAATTGCATCTCAAACTGCTGACAAGCAAAACTCATGTCATAGGTGACACTGTGTGTGTGTTAAGGCACAGGGGGGTGAAAGCTGCAGGGGTGGTGGCCCCTGCTGAGGCCACAAAGCCTGCCAAATTTCAAGGAGATAAGTGCAGGGGCTTGGGGGGGAACTGCACCTCAAGCTGCAGACAGGCAAAACTTGTGACATAGGTGACACAATGAGGTGAGGCTTTACTACTCATCAATTTGTCTGTGGAACCTGCCCTTGGCACAACATGGTAGTGTGCCCCCGTGAAGCCTCCTCCTCCTCTACAGCCTTGGCCTAGTCCACCACTGTAAACGATGGCTGGTCAAAATAACTTACCTGGCTCAACACCAATAGCACCAGCAACATCAAAGGTACCCAGATGGAACTGTCACAGAGCCTTTCTTTTTTTAAAGGAATTGACAACAAGAAGTAAGGATGTTGTGTTTGATATATGTTACTCGTGGTGTGTGATGGCTTATCTTGTGCTTTTATGTTTATATGTTTATTATGAAAAAAACCGAAAGCCAGTCAGTGAAAATGGAAATGGAGGCATCAGGGGGCAAAGGACAGGCTGGGGTGGGGCGGGGGAGGGGGATATAGCAGCACAGGTAAAAGTGCAGAGGTGCCTGGGGTGTCCTATGTCCGAGTTTTGCCTGCCCGCAGCCAGAGGTGCAGGGCCCCAGAACCCAGACTCACCCTGCACCTGTCTCCTCAACAGTCAGCAGGCTTTGTGGCCACAGCAGGGGCTACCACCCCTGCAGTTTTCACCCCCCTGTGCCTTAACACACACACACTGTCAACTATGTCATGAGTTTTGCTTGTCAGCAGTTTCAGGTGGAGTTTCCTAGAAACCCCTGTACCTATCTCCTTGAAACTTGGCAGGCTTTGTGGCCTCAGCAAGAGCTACCATCCCTGTAGTTTTCACCCCACTGTGGCTTAACACACACACATGACATGCGTTTTGCTTTCAGGATTTGAGGTGCAGTTTCCCAGAAACCCCTGCATCTATCACCTTGAAACATGTCTAGCTTCATGCCCTTAGTAGCAGTTACTGCTCCTGCAAGTTTCATCTGAATGAGCCAAAAAACAACAAAGTTATAGATATTTAATTGATTCCCCATTATACCTGATGACCGAATCTCTGAATCGCCAAATCTTTTCCGAATCTTTTCCAAATCGATTCAGCCAAATCGAATCAGAAAAGCAATTTGGATCTCTGAATTGAATCAGATGAATCCAAATCAGCCAAATCCAAATTGAATAGTTGCCTATTCACACAGGCCTATTGGATATACACCAGCTGAGAACTGGGTCCATTATGTTGGGCTCTGTTTCTTGTGTATGCCAGTTGTTACGTCTCAGCTCTGTATTCTTGGGGAACCCTGGTACAGGATGCAGTCTGTCTGACTCACAAAGGACTCACCCCCCCCCCCCAACCAAA